ATGAATAACTTTTAATTGTCTTATGAAAAATTTTTTTTAAGAAGAAGAAGAAGAAGAAGATTTCTTAAGAAAAATCGATGGATATTGAATTGTTTTTTTTTTAAAATGTTAATTATAATCATTTATAACTTTTAAATCTTTTAAAATTTATGTATTAATTTGTTTTGGTGAGATGATATTTTTATGAAGTAAATCTATATTTACTAATCACAAATGGAAAACTCATTAAAATTTAGCAACCCCAATATTTTAAAAAAATTTTGAATTTTTTTTTTTTTATGTGTATAAATGTGCCAATTTTTGTAAATACGAAAGTCCATACACAACATTATCAGAAAATAAGAGCGATAACGATAGTAAATTTAAAGCCAAAATTTCTAAAATTCAATAAAACATTAGATTACTGGGAATATTTTCCTAAATTTTTTAAGATTACCGTGTAGTTAAAAAATTATATAAAAAAGGCCCTCACGTTATATTTCTTCAATTATTTTTTACAGATATGTCCCGTATAAAAAAATAGTCAAATGTCCGCCTGTCAGTCAAGATCTCAGCCATCCAACTTTTTTAACTAAACAGATTTGCCATGTTAAAAAATATATTTCTGCAATATTTTAAACTTAAATAAGTAATATTTGTTTCAAATCAGATTAATTAAACTTTAAATCAGTTAATATTCCTCAAATAAAGTTTCAGAAAAGTATATTTTATTTTTGAAAATTTTTTTAAATAAAGAGATTTACATCTGCAATGATGATGGATGGCTAAAAATGGTGCTAAAATCAGTAATTTTAAATAAAAAAAAAAAACTCCTTCAGTCAATTTAAATTAGTTTTTGAAAAAAGTATTTTGCTTATTGGAAATATTAAATTTAATTTATTTGATTGAAATTAAAACTAAAATAAAAGCTTCAAGAAAGATTTTTAAGAAAATATTATATAATTTGTGTTATTAATATATATTTACATTTTAATATTTTTGTAAAAATGATTAAAATATTAGAATTGCAACACTATTTATATTGTTCAGACTGTTTCCTCATTTTATTGTCAAATTCACAATAAAACTCAAAACATTCTGGCCTTGTTTGGGTGATAAACATTTGGAATTTCAAAAAATCCTTTTGAAAACAATTACAAACTCTAGTTCCATGTTGCTTTTTTCAAAAGCTCTCAGTTTCTGTTATACCCCATTAGTAACTCAACTCTCCAATCTTTTTCTATTAAGAACTCACAATTTTTGTGTCAAGTCACCTATATCAACCAACAATTTTATCTGCTGGGACAAAAACATTGAGTAAAATAAAGGGTTCATTTGAAATTTCAATATATATCACCTGAAGAAGGCCAGATTTTTAAACAAGAAAATCAATAAATATGACAATAAAGATGAATTCAATACAAACATAAAACAATGTAAATAGTGTAAATAGTTACAATACCTCATCTCTGAAATATAGACAAATACTAGAAGCATTAAGTAAAAAAAATAAAATAAGTAATCCAACATCAATAAAATTTTATCAAATTTAAGAATAAACAAGAAATAATATCAGATTAAAAAATATTCATTTAAAAACATTTTGGATACAAAAATTTTTTTAAAGTTATAGACTTGGAAAGGTCTTTTGAGAGATATGCATTCCTTAAGTAGGTAATTGAGTTTTGCCCTTATCATGACAAAAAGATGAAATGAATAATTGGTATTCTCACACTTTTGACTTCCACTGGTGGTTTCCTGATAGAAAAAGAGAATACAGGTTAAAACTTCATATATTTACTTTTTTTTTCCTTTTGTTTTGTTTTTTTTCATTGTTTAAAGCATAACAGGTATGTCAATTCAAATATGTGTACCTAGTAAAAATTATGTTTATAGTAATAAGAAATATATAGTCTTTTCTTTTTTAGTTCAGCACAATTCATTTATCTAAATAACTTTCTTGGAGAATTTTCTTATCTGGACAGTGTTTCAGTCCATCCCATTTATCAATCTAACAGAGCATCTAGAAGATCCCTTGGAGGTTTATTAATGCCAATACTGCTGAGTTAATTTAACATTATCCATTAAGGTTCAGAAAAATAAAAATAACAAACTGATTATTATATTTAAATCTGGCTTTTTACTATTCTAATCAGTATATCAAACCTGTTGTGTCAGCTGTGCCTACTATCTGGCCAAGAAAAATATATGGATATCCAGATATATTTGATTTATATTCTTTGAATCAGTTTTTGGCTATAAACAGTGAAAATTTTAACTCCATATGTCTATTCATTAAAAGATTCATGTATTCACTTTTCTTGGATGACATCTTTAAATATTTAAGTCAGTAACATTATTGCAATTAGAACCTAAATAACCTTGCTTGTTATTGGATTGTATACCACAAAATGTAATTTGTTAAGATGGCTTCCAAGTCCTAATTATTTAGCTTCATTTAATTAGTATTGAGCTAAAAGCTATTGTCTCATCATCTATTCATATTAGTTTCTAATATATTTTACTTCTACTGCAAACATTTTTGTCCAACTCCATGTTTTCTTCTTTTTGAAGTTAATGCATAATAGGGGAAATTGCTTTTTATTTCAATGTTTTCAGCTGACATGTTCTTAAGCATTCAAATTATAGGAATTCATCTCAAGGAAATAGCTTCAGATAATACTTGCATCTTCTACAATCAGATCTTGCTATTCCATGGAATAACATTTACATTGTCTTGATCATTAAAACTTCTTACAATCATATTCTGTTCTTATGTTTAATTTCTGTTTTTCTGATATATTCTTCAGTCTCAGATTGATTCAAATTCACATTTCATACTATATGTTTGTATTTAGAAAGTGGGAATGAAAACACTAAGAGGAGGGATAATGAGAATACTATATAATTGCTAATAGTTTATGTCATTGCTTCACACAATCTTTTCAATCATGGCAACCTTTGAGTACGTTAATTTTTTTTCAGAGCACCCTAAAGTAGAAAATATTGTACAACTGTATTTATGTTCATAGGTTAATTAGTAAAATAATAATTGTCAAGTTTCAGTTAAGTAAACATGTTAAAAATATAATCTGCTTTATCTCTTCCAGAAATGCTTCATTTTTAAGCATAAAAGTGAAAACTGATATTATAATAACTCCTCAAAATTTTTAATTCAGAATGCTTTAGAATTATTGAAGTTTGATTGCGTTATATCTTTGATTCAGTAATCTAAAGTTAGTGTTTGAGAAACTTAGACAATGTACATGAAGCGATTTTCTTCTTATTGGTTGGATATCTGTCAACAAAGAGGGATGGAAAACTCAGCAGAACCAGAATCAAACATTAGATTATGATGAGCAGAGCATGGACAAGACTTCCACATGCGAACACCACATATGCAGGATGAATGCAGCTGAAACACTGGAAAAACAAACAAGTACAAACGAATTTGAAATGATGTTGAGTAACACAAACAAAATCCTTGGTGACACATAGCAATCACATTGTGCAGTCAATGCAGTGTACTACCAAGCTCTCTGTATTCCCAGAAAATATGCTTGCTTTTATAGAGCCTAATACTTTAACAGTTGGCTAACAAAAGAATTATTTGTATAGCTATCAACACTCAGCTCACCATCCTGACTATCTCACAGGGAAGAGGCTGGTAAACACTTTCTTCATAACCAGACATTCTGGGGTTTGCACCGGCTACATTCTGGCAGGGCAAAGAACATTTGTACTTCTTTCTGCAGAGACACTAAATGTTGTCTCTTTCACCAATGGGTATGGGTACTGTTATCAGTAGTAATTGGATGTTCCATCTGCATTTAGTTTCAGCTATAGTACAATTATTTTTTCTTATGGTAATTCAATCTTTCTGAAACTTAGTATTAAGTAATAATGCTGTACTCTGCAATTTAAAAGATTTAGATGTGAAGAATACCAGCAAATTGAAAATAAATAAATTCTTAATCAGGACAAGCATATCATTTTCTTTTCAGTTAATAAGTTTTCAGTAAAATGTTAAAAATATTTTCTCTTTATGTAAGACTTTATAAAAGACTAAACATTCCAGTTTTGTTAAACATGATGATGCGGACTTCAATATTCTTAAATATATGGAGATAACAAAAACTTTTTCACTTTGTTGGACTATGGGCAGAGATCATATAGGAAATGATACACCTTCAAACAGCTATATATTTACCAGACTTTGAAAGCCAGTCATATTTCATATGTGAAATGAAACCCTTGACTCCCCTAATAAAATGCAATGATAAAAAAAGAGTAAAGAAGAGAGATACATAACACACTAAATCAACCCACTATTATTTTTATTTCATATACATGAAAATTCTACAACTAAATAAACACTAATTTTTCCAATAAACTATGGCAATGAACTGTACAAATGTACAACTGAAAATAAACATATCTTCTTATCTAACATTTTAACTCAATCTTATTATTTCATTCTTTGTCCATAATACTAGACAACATGAATACCTGCACAATCCACCATTTAAGTATATGTATGTACTGCTATAGTTTGAGGTTGATTCGTCAGAATACGCTTGGTATCATCATTGGTATATATAAATCATATAATTTGATTTAGAGGTAGACAATTTCAATAATGTTGTCTAAACGTATTCTATATTACAAATTATAAAACCACCAAGAGACCAATATTTTTCTTGTTTAAAACAATGAAATGTTAGTAAGTTAATTATGTTTTTGTAAAACACAGATTTACACCATTGGTGCATTTTGTCATGTCTTCAGTTATTGAAAATGAATCTTAGTAATGAAAACATTGAAAATTTTTATTTCAAAGTTAAATGTGCATTTTGGAGCTTTTGAAAAATTTGATTTACAAAATTAAAAATAAATTGATTTTAAAATCATTTTTTTTTTATAAAATCTTTCTTTGAAAATCTGTATTGACTTGTTAGCAGTTTCTGTTCAATATATAATTTTTTTCAAAATTTGATTCATACTTTTAATTAATGATGTTTATGAAAAAGGATTTTCCCACGAGAGGAGAAAGTGATGACGAAAATGAAAATTATGAATGCAATGATATCAAAGATCTGGAATTTCGTTTGGCCCATGACCTCAACAAATTGCAGGTAGGTAGATACACACACACACATAATCTCATTTATTTGAAAATTATAACCTAAATATGTTATAATTATCGTATAAATATTGGTTTAGAGGTAGACAATTTGAATAATAAATGTTGTGTAAATGTTATAACAAATGTTATAATTTTTGAATAAATTATATTTACTCCACTCTGTATTGAGCACTCTTTTAAAAATCCTATACTTGGTGTGTGTGTGTATATATATATATATATATATATATATATATATATATATATATACACACAAATGCAAATGACTTTTATCCACATAAACAGAGAGATGTTAATTTAGATTGTAGTAATTCTTTAATATTCATTGATAAACCTCCACAAAGTAATCTTTGTAACACAAAGATTGCAGGAAATTAAACTCTTGTTTTTAAGAAGAATAATTTGTTTCCAATGCTTACTATTATTTTTTTATTTTATTTTTTTGCTTATGGACTTTCAATAAAACAAGTTGAATTCATAAAAAAAATAATGATATTATTTGAAATTCAAGAAAATAATATTTAGGACAATGTAAAATTAATCAACAATTAATCTTATTAACTTGTAAGAATGAAATTCAGAATTACCTACAAGTATTTTTCATAATAGCTTGTAATAAAGGATTCATAATTTATTTTTACACACACGACACATGTAGATCACATTTATGCCCAAACAATAACAAAGAATTTAAAGAATTAAGAAATTGATATATAGAATTTACAAAATCTGTCATCTCCTAAATAAGGAAAATATCCAGAGAATTTTCTTTTATTTTGAATGCATCCTGTTGGATATCCAAAAATCTTTAAAATCTCCTAAAGTTGATTAAATTTGTCTACTAAAATATTCTTCAGTTGTTTAGATCATTGAATAAAGGCTATTGTTTGAAAATAGGGGCCTGTTTTACTTTTGTCATGCATGTCTAGAGGCATACATATACAACAAAAAATAATTTTGTGACATAGTTTTTCTCTGTATATTTTTTAACTAGATTGTTTTAAATAAAGTGATATATATTGTGGAATGTTGCAGGAAGTAAGTACCAGAAGTCAATGTTTTACACAGCATCAGATAAATTTATTAAAGATTATTCTATGCAGTGGACTGTACCCACAAGTAGCCATTTCAGATGAATGTAACACATTTAAACCAAATTCAGATCAAGTCTTTCATACAAAGGTAAGCATTAGAAAAAATTTTTTATTCTTTTAATAAGGTTCAGATACTGACAAATGTAATAAAAATGCATGTTATTTAATTATCTTTAGATCTCAACTACTTGTTAATATTCACTGAATGTCATGTCTTACATGACACTATGATAATCTACAATGGTCAGTTAAAATAGAATTAACATTTTTGACTGGATGGTCAAAAATTGTGTAAGTTAAACTGCTAGAGAAATGGAAAACCCAAAAGATTTATTGATTTTTTTTTCTAGTATAAAATAATGCTTTTCTTGTGATTTGGAAGTAAGATAAAGAGACAAAAACTACATCTTTTGAACCATGAAATGTAGATATTTTGATAAGCCTAAGAATTAGACAGTATGAAATAATGGATTGTTTCAACCCTTATCATAAAAAACATATGACTTGGATTATTTTGGTCTTTATCAAAAGAACATATGACTTTTACTGGGGTAATTCCAAAATCTGGCTAGTCAAAACTTCAGGGAAAGGAAAAAAAATAAGTAATTGATTATGGGCCTGGATAGATATATGTATAATTTTGAGAAAAAGTATTTCAAAATGTCAGGAGGGATCTTATACCTTTTCAACTTCAAAATGGACTTATTTTCAAGTAAAAAAATTAATCAACTCCAAAATGGATTAATCAACTTCAAATTGGAAAACAACTTCAAAATGAGAAATAATCAATTTCAAATTGGATTAATCAACTTCAAATTGAGAATTAATATATAAGATGTAAGAAGCACAACTCTGCCTTGTTAGAGAGAATCAAACCTATGAAATTATGAAGTAGCAACATGGAAGCTGAGCAGAAAAGAAGTCAGATAAATTTGTGATAACATGAAACAATTGACTGAAAAAAAATCATTGTTAATTATTCTAAAATTTCTTAACAAAAGGCCTTCAATTTTGGCCTTGAGATAGAACTATTTGCACTCAGGCTCTAGTAGTGATGTGCTACATGTTGACCTTTCAATTTCACTGCAAGACAGTGTTTGACAAAGAAATGTGGAGAATGAAGAAAGAAGTTGATAGTTACTTTTGATTGAAGGCCCAACATAGTAGTTTTCCTGTTAGCACTAATTCTATTTTCCTTTTCTAATTGCTGCTACACATTCTTTGTTCTGTTGAACATATATCTCATTACTGCGACTAGAAGAAGACTCTGATGGACCTGCTATATGTACAATATTTAGCAATACAAACAAATTACCTTTAAAAAAATCAGTAATATTAGGTATCTCAAACTTCCTTAATTTAGACTGCAAAAATGGATCAAAATAGTGTATAAACAAAATTTAATCCTCTTTATAAAGATAGTGATGTAATGGAATAACCTGTCACCCCCATGAGTGACTACACTATAGGTAGTATCTACCTATAAGTATCTGTAAGTCAAGGACTGCAGAGAATAGCTGGAATCTGTTGAGTACGACACAGACTTACGCAAGAACTACTTACCTTCCGATAGTAGCACTCACCACTGGATTGACTTGCAACGACCTTGTGCATAACTGTTAGCTTTATTCTTATTGTAATGGTTTTTACAATAAACCTTTACTTATTTTATCCACCATGTTTTTCAAGTATATATTCCTATTAGCACAGAATATAACAGAATTCTTTCTCATGTGTGATGATTAGTTTTTATTCTATATCTCTTTAAATTATGTCAACAACAATGACTTCTTTTTCTGCATTTTCAAAGCTGACAATTTTATGGTGGCGTTTTTCAAACTTGTTGCTCTTGAAGTTGTGTCTCCCTACACATATCAAAATAGGCCTGTCCTAAAGAAAAAAGACAGGGTTTGAAGTTGTCTTTCATAAAAAATTTCTAAGTTGAAAACTTCAGTGGAGGAAATACCAGAGAAATTCAACTCTTCTTATAGAGCAATGTCTTGTCCTAGGCATGACGTTAAACTGCATCTGTATCCTGGGCATGATGTTAAACTGTATCCACATCCTAGCTATCATGGGCTTTTTCACAAAACAAGTTCACCTATGTCCTTGGTAGGACATTAAACTACTACCAGGCATAGTATAGGAAGCAAGATGGATTAGAAACTAATTATTTGTATGAGGAAAACTTCACCTTATACACTAAGCATATAACCTATCCATTTATGCCAAGGATAATGCCTTCAGAAAAAATAATATAGTTTTTTTCATACAATCTACTGGGGGAAGTGGGGAATAGACACCTTTAAACTACCAACAAAAATCATAATCCACAAACTAACAATTTACACAAAATGCTATGCCTAAACTACCTGTCCATACAAAAATACCTATAAAATTGCAATATATAAAGTACACATTTACGAAAACCAACTCCCAGAAACTACAAATCCCCCTTAATGGGTGGTGACCCATGATGCCCGGGGATGGAGTCCTGGTGACTGAGTATAAAAATGGCCAGGAGTTTCTACAACATGCCACTTTGGTCCCAACTTTGGATTGATGGATGGATGAAATAATCCAATCCAATCAGCTAGTCAGATGGTGGCAAGGGTTAGTTGGGATGAAAGAGAATGGCTATGACAGGGCTGCAAATCCTTACACCATACTATACTTGGGTAGGTATGGTGGGGGAATGTGAGTACTCATGGCTACTTTCAACAAGACTATACTGTCTGTGTAGTTCTGGTGGATCAAGGCAAATGTGATTAGTCCCATCCTGATAGCATCCCTTAAGAAGAAACTCTGAGACAGGTGAGGAGCACAGATGGCGAATACAAAAATAAAATTACATGACTAACTCTTATAAACGATCCAAGAGACAGTATGAAAATGCTGAAATGGAAAGTGACAATGAAATATCAGGAAAAAAATAATTTTCATGGTCATAGAATCATTAGAGAGTGAAATAACAAAAGTGTCACCTTTTTGTTACAAATAGTTATATCAGCCATGATATAACCAAAACCAAAAAAAATAAAGAAAAATAACACACTTCTAATTCAAGAAAAAAAAAAAAAAGACACAGAAAACATACTAAAAATCAATCAAATAAAGGACATGAAAGTAAAGGCTTACCCCCACCAATTTCTTAACTCCTCTAAGGGAGTAATAAAATGCCCAGAACTGTCACTCTGCTCACTGGAAGAAATTAAAAATTATGACACCCTAAAAAACAAGGCGTAACTTATGTCAAAAGAATACAAATAAAAAGAAAGGACACTTCAATAAACACAAACACATACATTTTGACATTCAATGAACCTACCCTACCAAAAGAAATAAAAATAGGATACGCAATATCCAGGGTAGAGCCATACATCCCTAATCCCTCTAGATGCCGCAAATGCCAGAAATTTGGCTATCTACAAGATCAATGATCAAAAGTACCAGTCTGTTGAAGATGTGGGGAATTTGAGACTAGATTCTAAAGAGTATAACATCTGGAAAAAGGAAAAGCAAATTATAAGAATAAAATACACAAAAGAACCTATGTGACACTATTTAGCTATGGTAATTGGCTAACTAATTAACCATAGAAATTAAAACAGGAAATACCTAAGACGAAAAAGAGCTATCCCAAAAGATATCCCAATTGATGTTAAAAAAAAAAATTTGATTTTATTTACAAAAAAGATACTTTTCACAAAAGACAGTAAACCCGTGGGAAAAGCTAAATGTGAGGTTTTGTCAGGTTGATTAATTTCTTGCCAAGGAAGATAGGAAAATATTAAGATATTGGCCAGACCATGGCGGTCATAAAAATTTCGGCTTGAGATGATTGCCGATACAGGCAGGGAGAATCAATGTTAATTATCTTTCAAAGATATCGTTTATTTTTTTTTCTTGGCCACCGGCGAGGAAAAGCAATGTGGCAATTATAAAATTTTGCCATTGTCTTGACATAGGTGAGAGGATTTTTATTATTTACCTTATCAACGTGTCACTTCAGACGCTGAAACATTGAATAGCAATATGGCATTTGTAAAATTTTGGCATGAGACAGAAAATAGAGTGGAGAATTGAGATTTGGCAAGATAAGAAAAATTAATTTTTCAACAAGCAATATGGAATTCATAAAAATTTTGGCTGATGGGGAAAAAGGAGAATTTTGTAAAAAAATTCTAGATTAAAATTTTAAGGAGGCCAGCTTACCACACCCACACGGCAGATGGTGATAGGCAGAGGTGAATGGATGAGAAAGACAGAGAAGTTATTAACACCCACTGAAGGGATCAATGTGAGAGAGAAAGAGTCTAGGAGAATAGCTCTCCTCTGACCTTCCCTCACGGACAATGGAGACCCCCCCCCAATGGAAAGTGATTAATTTTCCAAAAATGGGAAGTAATCAAATTTTCTGGCCTGACAACAAAGAGATTTCTTGTTAGAAATCAAGATTTACCGAGAACCCCAGGCTGCATCTGGCCCCACACCAAGTTTTGGTTGGTACCCATATAAACAAACATCCTTGGGTCATTCAGAGTGTTCTGAGTTGGAGTCGCAGTTGAGCAGGTTTTGGAGTTAGTCAGAACTTAACCAGAGTGTTGCCTCACAGAAGCTGGCCAAGAGATTCCACGACTTCTGACTTCGCCTATCCTACCAATAGCAAGTTATACTGATGAATGAAGCCAAACCAACACCTAAGAACTAAATCAGTTGATTTAAGATACCAACTTGCTTGAATCATAGAAGTGTCATATTTCGTAGAAAACAGGCTGGGAGAAAAACACACTCCTGTATACAACAGAAGGATAAAGTTAATTTGTTATTTCTTAACATACTTGAACCTCTTGGGTTTTTCTTTTATTTATTTTTTTTTTCCTTTGCGCTTGTGCGATATCACCTTCAGTCTGGACTCATCCTACACCTGATTGATCTCATCTACCTAAGATCAAAGTCATAACTTGAGATTGAAGTAGTTACTCCAGTAACCAGACATTGCAAGTGAGCTGGGAACGATAGAGCTGGTATTGAACCAGTACAACTGGTGAAGCTGTTAACATCGATGAACAGAATTCGACTCTGGAC